GAGATATAAATAAAACAAAATAGCAACACGCTCTGAAGCTGCTGCCACTGCCATCAAATCCTCCACGCGGTGGTGATGTCAGAGCCTGTCTCCCCGCACCTGGGGCTTAGATGGCCGAGCCGCTGACACCTGCCAGGTCGCCTGGCACCGGCCTCATCTACCCACGGCCATTTTCAACCTCCCGCCAGCTCCTGGAGGCGGGTGGGCTTGTGGATGGAGGCTTCCGTGTTAAAGCAACCCTGTTGGTGTAGCAGACACGTGTGGGCTTTTTGATGAGAACCCATAACATCTCTTCACGAACATGTTTTTAACTGTTCTGAGATCACGCTCCCAGCCACGGCGACTCTCAAATAGGCCTGAGCGATTCCACTTGCCCGATGCAAAGACTGACCCAGGTTTCATGGAGACCAAACCCTTGGCCCGGAGCAGACATGTCCTTTCAAAAGGAAGGTCACCCTGGCTGCAGGTCCTTGCTCTTCCTCGCTTTGAATATTTCTTGCCACACCCTTCTCTACCCAGCAAAGCTCATTTGGAATTGAAAGCCAGATAAAAAGCTTCACAGATAAGAAAAAGCTAAAGGAGTTCATCACCCTGATCGGGGGCCAGCCAGTGGCCAATGGGGGCCTCTGGCCAGACCCCACCCATGCATGAATTCATGCACCAGGCCTCTAGTTTATATATAAAACCCGAATATGCAAATAGATCAAACAGCGGAACAACCAAACAACCAGTCACTATAATGTGCACTGACCACCAGTGGGTGCGCGGAACATGGCAGGCATCGGCCGCAGCAGGATGGTGGAGCAGGTGAGCAAAGGCGCCAGACCAAGGCGGGGTGCTGGTCGCTGTCATTGGGGCGAGCCTCTGGTGGTTACTGAAAATTCTTTGCTCCTGCATGCTGTGGTCCTGCCCAGCACTCGCACCCACTGCCGGCACCAGAGCCACCGCTCACACCTGCTGCCGGCACCCGGTGCTGGCCCCAATCCCTCGGCACCATCAGCGGGTGCCAGTGGCAGCTGCTGGTCCCAATCGCCCCTCAGGGCTTCTCCACCTCCTGCTCCTGAGGGGTGATTGGGGCAGCAGCCGCTGCTCTCACCCGCTGATGGCATCAGCCCTGCTCGCACCCGCTGCTGGTGCCAGCCCCAATTGCTCTGCACCCGCAGACACGTGTCCTCCCAAGAGGGGACCAGGGGCCAAGGCTGGAGGGGCCAGGCAGGGGAGTGAAGGATGGGCCGAGACCTACCCCTCTGTCCACCACACCCTTACAGCCCACAGTTCCTTTCAAGGTGCATGAATTCATGCACTGGGCCCCTAGTCTATAATAATAAAAGCGTAATATGCTCATTAGACTGAACAGCCGAACGACCTTCTGGATGTCCTTCCGAACAAAGCTGGGGCTGTGAGGGTCGAGGCAGCTACCACGGCTGTGAGGGCCAAGCCCCTTGCACGATTTTGTGCATCATGCCTCTAGTATAGGATAAAAGCCTAAGCGACCATTCGACTGGTCGACATGACGTGCACTGACCACCAGGGGGCAGACGCTCAATGCAAGAGCTGCCCCCCTGGTGGTCAGTGCACTCCCACAGTGAGAGCTCCACTCAGCTGACCAACGGGCGCCAGAGGCAGAGCTCATGGCTGGTCGCAGCAGCCCGGAGACTGCAGCGGAGCATCAGCGAGCCTACTGAGTGGCGGTGGCAGCAGGCACAGCAGGGCTGATATAAGCAGGAGTGGCAGGCAGGAGTAGCAGGCGGCGTTGGACTACCAGTTTCAGCCTGATCCCCACAGGCCATGCCAAGGGACCCCACCAGTGAACAAATCCGTGCACTGGGCCTCTAGTAAACTGGACAGTCTGCAACAGGCTCTTTAATTGTTCTTCTATAAACAAGGCACCATTGGCTTTTAATAACTGTTTAAATAACAAAGAAATCTGTTACTCAGTGGACACCTACTGTCCTATTGTGAAACCTTAGCTGAAAAACATACCCTCAAACTTGGCAATTCCAAGCTGGCTCCAATGACTTACTGCGCAGTTAGTCTTCGTTTTCTTACTCTTCGTTTCCGCCGTGTCTGGTTGCGTTCCTTGGTCCTCATGTGGGGTACCACTTTGCCAGGGATGACCAGCAGACCCTGAGCTATAGATGAATGATTACTCTGACACAGGATTGCTGTGAAAGAGAGGGCTAAGGGACTGCCTGGCTAAAGGAACAAGACAGCCTTGATCGCCTGCCTCTTCAGGCTTTTATTGTAAAAGCAGTTTGAGATAAAGTTTATCTTTTAGATACAATCAGTAGGGTAAGTAATCTTGAGAGGACACATGTGTCTACAATGCCCTTTAAGCAAGGACACCTAAAGATTAAGCATAAAGATTCCAGTAAACACCCAAGGTACACACACTTGTTTGGAAAGGTCAAGGAACAATTAGGGGTAGCCACCTTCAGCCAAACTCCCCTAAGTAGGAATTCTGATAAACAGGGTAGGCTGCCTTCAGCCCACTCCTTTTTTCGGAATTTTTCTCCTTACAAACTTTCCAAACAAGTCACCTGTGCTCCCCGACAGAGCCAAACTGATGACAATTGCTGGGAAGCAAGATCTCAAACACTCCTGAGAATGATATTAGACACTCTGACCTTTCCAGTTAGGAATTTATGATCAGATCACTCTGTGAGGTTACTTTCCCTGAATGGACTTCTCAGTGTTATTACAGACCCCTTTTTCATCCATAACTGTTAACTCAGAAGTGATATTGCTGGATCATATAGTAATTTCATGTTTAATTGTTTGAGGAACCATCATACTGTTTTCCACAGTGGCTGAACCATTTTATATTTCCACCAACAATGCCTGAGGGTTCCAATTTCTGCACATCCTCACCAATATTTGTTATTTTATGTTATTTTTTAAATATTTTTATTGATTTCAGGGAGGAAGGAAGAAGGGGAGAAAGATAGAAACATCAATGATAAGAGAATCATTGATTGGCTTCCTCTTGCATGCCCCACACCAGGTATCAGCCTGCAACCCAGACATATGCCCTGAGAATCGAACAGTGACCTCCTGGCTCATAGGTCAATGCTCAACCACTGAGTCACACCAACCGAGCCAATTGTAGTTCTTTATATGTCCTGGATATTAGTCCTTTGTCAGATATTTGATTTGCAAATATTATCTTCCATTCTGTAAGTTGTGTGTTCACTCTTGATAATGTCCTTTGATGTACAAGAGTCTTTAATTTGATGCTCAATTTATCTATTTTAATTTTGTTGCCTGTGCTTTTTTTGTTGTTGTATCTGTCCAGGTAAGAGATATACAAACCTGCAGAGAAATTTTCATAAGAGTTTATTTGAGCCAAACTGACCACATATGCAGGAAGCAAGATCTCAAAAGCTCCTGAGAATAACACTTCGCATCTTCTTTTATGCATTTGAAATTAAGGCGGGGATATAAGGAAGATTGGAGAAAGCAAGGCTGGGATTGGATTACAGGATAGTTAACAAGATTATGTGCTCTTGAGGGAACACACTCCTTCAAAGAATATTACTTCTGTCATTTCTTTTTTTAAAATATATTTTTATTGATTTCAGAGAAGAAGGGAGAGGGAGAGATAGAAACATCAATGATGAGAGATAATCATTGATTGGCTGTCTCCTGCATGCTCCATACTGGGGATCGAGTCCGCAACCCAGGCATGTGCCCTTGACCGGAATCAAACCGGAGACCCTTCAGTCCACAGGACGATGCTCTATCCTCTGAGCCAAACCTGCTAGGGCTACTTCTGTCATTTCAAAGGTGTGTTAACCTAAATGCGTAAGAACAAATGACAGGGCTAGTTTAAAACCTTTCATAAGGAAGTTATAGGCCTGGAGCAAGACTACCCACAATGACCTGCCCCGTTGGGAATTTGTGATCAGATCACCTGTGAGGTTACCTTCCATAGAACCCCCCTTTTTTTTATCCATACCTTGGACTCAAATGTGCCAACTTTGTATATTTTCTTTCTGTAGGATAGCAATATCCATTTTCTAGGTCAAATATTTAGCAAATTCAAATATTTGGCTCAAAAGTTGTGTGACAGGAAAGTTACCTAACCACTCTGAGCTTTAGTTTCTTCTTGTGTTATTTGCAGATTAAGTGAGATAATGTATGTGAGGCAGTGTCTGGTCAATGTAAACATTCAATAAGTAGTATTTCTATTTGTTGTTTTTTAAATATATTTTTATTGATTACAGAGAGGAAGGGAGAGGGAGAGACAGAGAGAAACACCATCGATTGGTTGCCTCCTGCATGGCCCCCGACCAGGGCCAGGAGCCTGCAACCGTAGGTGCCCTTGACCTGAATGGGTCCCAGGACCCTTCAGTCTGCAGGCCCATGCTCTATCCACTGGGCAAAACCGGCCAAGGCACGAATGTGCTTTCTTAAATCAGAACGGAACAATCAGTTAACAGAGCATGATTAATATTTCTTGTAACTACTGCTAGTCCCCATTATTCTATTTCTGCCCCTAACAGTTTGTTCTTGATGCTTACTACTTAAGCAGGAATCAGCCTTCCTCGGCGCCCCCCACGGAGTAAGAAAGGGAGCCTCCCAGTTGGAGCAAACCCGGTGTAATGAGGCCGGGTTCCAGCGTGGCTCTCGCAAGCGGGAGAGGGTGTGAAGGGAGCAGGGAGCCATTCAGGGACCGCGGAGACGGGCGGGTTGTGGGAGCGCCCAGCGCGCTCACAGCGGGTCTGAAGCGGGACCCAGGCCTGGAGGTTCCAGAACGCCGGGACCGAGTGGGGCGCCTCCTGTGGGCGCCAGGCGCGCAGGAGCGGTGCTTGGGCGCAGCCGTACCCTCCCAGAAGGGGCCCCAGCTGACCGGAAAACACCAGCCCCGCGGAGCGGAAGTAGCGCCGCGCGGAGACCCCGCCCCCGAGAGGGCCGGAATCTCGGGATGCTGGGGCGAGTGGGCTGGGCGGTGCGGCCCCAGGGGCGGGAGGCTCTTCCGCAGCCAATGATTGGCTGGCCCCTGCCTGTGGCGGCAGCGGTGGCGGCGCCGCGTGGCCGGGCCGGCTGAGTCCTGGGTTCGAGCCTTAGCTCTAACTGCCCCTCGGTGCCGGCTCCAATCCCGGGCCTCCGGAGGTTCTCCCCCGCAGGGGCGGAGCCAGCCAGGCCCTCCCCCTGGGCGCGCTTCCGCTCCTCTAGCCCCCGCGGTCTGGCCCAGACCCTCAGGGACTAGGAGGGAGGAGGGATCTCTCGAGACCTGAACGGCCCCATCCGGAGGGGAAAAGGCTGTGCGGGGCTGTGGCGGGGAGAACGGCCGCCTGGAATCGATAGAAGCTCGGTGAGAGACGGCCGCGGAGGATGAGGACGAGGAGGAGAGGCGGGAGGCGCGCGAGGGGCGGGAGCGCGGGCGGGGGTGGGTCGGAGGTTTGGGAGTTAGTAGGGCGCAGACGCCGCTGGCGCAGGAAGCCAACCGTGCCGAGGTGAGAACCCTAAACGACTGCACCCATGGAGGAATGGGTTCAAAGAGCCGGAGGCAGCCAGGAACAGCGTAGAGAGCCTCCCCAGTATCCAAAGCTGCGATTACGATTTTTTGTGCTTCCTAGAACAGCAGAAACCCACAAATTATATTATGGAAGTGTTCAGACTTACATAAACGTACAGAAAGTAGCTCGTCATTACGGATTCCAAGTACTCATCACCTAGCCTCAGCCGCAAATGGCCACCCTGGTGGCATTATGTGTGTTAAGACGAGCCTCAAATCAAGTATTGCTATGTTAATCTTAAGTAAAAAAGAGTTCCTTTCCTGTACATTTTGCAAGATGAAAAAGATTTCTGGAAATTGATTGAGCAACAATGTGAATGCACTAAACACTACTGAATTGTGCACTTAAAGTGGTTAAGATGGTAACTTGAGTTTTTAATCACAATTTTTGAAAGTTCCTTTCAAATTAAAAAATCTAATGCTGTAAATTAAGAAAAGAAAATCTGACCTCAAGTGTGCAATGCAAAGTAACTCATTGCCAAGTAGAGGCCCATAAGGTCTATTTTTAACTCTAGAGGCTCTGGAATGAACCTGCTGGTTTTGGTGCTCAGAGCAGTGGGACCTACGCTGAGGTGAACCTGAAGCACTGTGGTGCCCACTGTCCATCTGTCTCTCAGATGTTTCCCTTTTCTTCTGAGGCACACCTTTAACCTTTGGGTAAGCTCCTGTTCCACTCCATACCTTTATTCACAGAAGAGTGAAGTGTGAATTCACCTCCTTCTCTCCACTTTAATTCTTTAGGGCTTACCTGGGTAGTCTTTCTCTAGTATGACATCTACTCTCTGTTCTCCCAAAGGTACCACATGTCAGTCCTTCACATTTCTAAAGCACATGGTATTAGCTGGTAGACAACCTTCCACATTCTAGCTTTTTTTTAGCTATCATTTTTTAACTGAGTCCAAAGTAGGTAGTTCTGAAAACTCCCTTTGGCCCACTCCAAACAAAACAAACTATAAAATGAGAAAGTAACTGCTAGATTTGGGTTTTTGGCTTCTCTTATCTTCCTGCAGGGGCCCCAGAACCAGTATTTTTCCTGGAGCTAAATTTTCTTAATATGGGTTGGCATTTATTAGAGAATGAAACAACCAATTGGATAAACTGCATCAGAAAGTTTTATTAGTTAATGAGTAATGACTACTTAGAGCTGTTCAGGAAAAAGTTAGGTACTTGATCACATCACTGGTTATGTATGGTAAGAAGGAATTAATGACAGGACACTTGGTAATGGGTGGCAAAGAGCAAAAGTTAGATTGAATCACAAGGTGAAATTGCTTAGTGGCTAATGTTTAAGGTTATATCTATACACTCAGAGCTATCAGAAGGATCATTATTAAAATATCTGCAGGAAATACTGTAATTGCTCATCTGTAACTCTTTTACCCTTTAACTTTCATTTTTCCCAGGAAACCATTATGATTTTGGATTAAGTTTTTTTTAGCAATGTAGATACCATGTTATAACTGCCTGTATACAGGAGGTAATATAAAATGAATGAACCATCTTCTTATATTTTCCTTTGTAGGGAAAATGGAAGAACTGAGTCAAGCCCTGGCTAGTAGCTTTTCTGTGTCTCAAGATCTGAATAGCACAGCTGCCCCACACCCTCGCCTGTCCCAGTACAAGTCCAAGTACAGTTCCCTGGAGCAGAGTGAGCGGCGTCAGCAGTTATTGGAACGGCAGAAATTGTAAGGGATGCTTTGACTCCCTGGCTTTTTTCTCCAGGCTGGGCATTGTGAACAGATCAGAAAGCTCTAGGCTTGCTTCTACAGAACCCTCTTCAAAGTAGACCCTTTGTAGGTTGATCATCTTATCCACAAGGTTGGGAGGAATAAATCCTGGCAGAGGTAGATGTCTTTTACACCCAGAGCTTAGAAAAAAGATGAGGAAGTTTGAAAGTAAAACTTCAGTTATTTGGTTAATTTTTTTTTTCCTGGCAGCAGTACTGAGCTTTGTAATTTATGGACTTGAGAAAGTCACGCCCAGACTTCCACTCCCCACATTCCCTGTGTAGCTTCTCCCACATTCTGAATCCTGGCCTTGGTGTGGTCTTCCTGTCTGCCTGCAGCCCAGATGTTTCTGTAGAGACCTTGGGAGCTCCAAACAAATAATTCCACAGGGAACTTGAGGAAATGTCTTCCATACATGTAATTCTCAGTGCCAAGATGAGCATACAGGAAAAGAGAGCAGGATAGGAATGTTTGAGGCTATGCTTCTCTGAAGGCAAGGCCTGTCCTTTTATTCTCAGTGCAACATGGTCTCTTCTGGGTAATCAATTAAGGAATTGAAAATCAAGAGGAGCTATTAACAGCTGCACAGTTTCTGTACCATCTGCATTTTGACCAGTGTTGCATCACTGCATGTATTTAGCAGAAATGGTTCCCTGTGGCCTCTGGGTTGCTTGCAGATTACCTTCTCAGATCACCCATGCCCCCTCTTAAACAAAAAAAAACACTATAATTTACATATTTCAAATTTTGAACTATGAATACATGTAATGGATGTGTGATGACTTTTTTTTAATATATTTTATTGATTTTTTTTTTTTTATAGAGAGGAAGGGAGAGGGATAGAGAGTTAGAAACATTGATGAGAGAGAAACATCGATCAGCTGCCTCCTGCACACTCCCCACTGGGGATGTGCCCACAACCAAGGTACATGCCCTTGCCCGGAATCGAACTTGGGACCCTTGAGTCCGCAGGCCGATGCTCTATCCGCTGAGCCAAACCGGTTAGGGCATGTATTGATTTTTTTTTTTTAAATATATTTTATTGATTTTTTACAGAGAGGAATAGAGAGTTAGAAACATCGATGAGAGAGAAACATCGATCAGCTGCCTCCTGCACACTTCCTTCTGGGGATGTGCCCGCAACCAAGATACATGCCCTTGACCGGGATCGAACCTGGAACCTTTCAGTCCGCAGGCTGACGCTCTATCCACTGAGCCAAACCAGTTAGGGCTGACCTTTTTTTTTTAATCCTCACTTGAGGATATGTTTTTTTTTTTTTATTGATTTTAGAGAGAGAGAGGAAAGGAGAGAGAAAGAGAGGGAAACATCCATGAAAGGAGAAACATCGACTGGTATAGTCCCTGACCGGAAATGAAATCCATACCCTTTTGGTGACTAGAGCTACCTGGCCTGCAACCTTTTTTTTTTTTTTTAAGTATACTGTTCTGAACATTTAGCTAACAATGTTTCTTTGCAGAAATTCTATATCGTTAAGTTCCAGGTATTCCATTGAATGGACAGTTCATGATATAATAATCAAAGCAGTCCCCTACTGACGGGCATATGGGTAATTTCTTCTCTCTCTCTCTCTCTCTTTTTTTTTAAAATATATTTTTACTGATTTCAGAGAGGAAGGGAGAGGGAGAGATAGAAACATCAATGATGAGAGAATCATTGATCGGCTGCCTCCTGCAGGCCCCCTGCTGGGGCCTGAGCCCACAACCCAGGCATGTGCCCCTGACCAGAATCGAACCTGGGACCCCTCAGTCCACAGGCCGGCGCTCTGTCCACTGAGCCAAACCAGCCAGGGCTTTACTCTCTTTTTTTAATATATTTTTTATTGTAGATAGTATTACAGATATCTCCCACCTCTCTTTAAAAAATATATATATTGATTTCAGAGAGGAAGGGAGAGAAAGAGAAACATCAATGAAAATCATCGATTGGCTGCCTCCTGCATGCCCCCTACTGAGGATCGAGCCTGCAACCCTGACCAAGAATTGAACCGTGATCCTGGTTCATAGGTCGATGCTCAACCACTGAACCACACGGGCTGGGCAGGTTTTTTGTTTTTGTTTTTTTAGTTTCCTTCTCTTGTGCTTAAAACAATGCTTGGGAAATAACCACAGAAATGCATCCTTTTGTACATGTACAAGCACTCCAGCTCTTTCTTATCTATATACTAGAGGCCCGGTGCATGGATTTGTGCACATTGAAAGGAAATTAATTAGAAGAAATGTTTTAATATTGCTATTCACCCTTTCTCTATAATAGAAGTGTCAACCAAATTCACAATCGACAAACAGATTAGTGCCAGCAAGAGCTTTTATATGTATTGCGCATGCACAAGTCAACTTAGCCTTTTATATATATAGAATAAACATGCTTAATTAGATCTGCTTTCTTTTTTTTTTTTTTTTTTACTTTTAAAATATAATTTTAATATTTAGGTAACTTTGATCAACAGTTTTCAGCTCTAGTAGTTTATTTTTAACAGAGAATTGTGAATTAGTGTAGACATTTATAAAAATATATATATGTATATATACAGATATATAATTTGAATTTCTCCCCAGTTTTTTTTTAAATTTTTTTTTTTAATTTTTATTGCTTAAAGTATTACAAAGGGTATTACATATGTGTCCTTTTTTTCCCCCGCCCTTGACAATCCCCTGGCCTCCCCCACCCCCCAGTGTCTTATGTCCATTGGTTATGCTTATATGCATGCATACAAGTCCTTCGGTTGATCTCTTACCCCCTTCCCTCCTGCCCCCCAACCCTCCCCGGCCTTCCCGCTGCAGTTTGACAATCTGTTTGAGGCAGCTCTGCCTCTGTATCCATTATTGTTCAAAAGTTTATAATGGTCTCTATTATCCATGAATGTGTGAGATCATGTGGTATTTTTCCTTCATTGACTGGCTTATTTCACTTAGCATAATGCTCTCCAGCTCCATCCATGCCGTTGCAAATGGTAAGAGTTCCTTCTTTTTTACAGCACCATAGTATTCCATCGTGTAGATGTACCACTGTTTTCTAATCCATTCATCTACTGATGGGCACTTAGGCTGTTTTCAGATCTTAGCGATGGTGAATTGTGCTGCTATGAACATATGGGTGCATATATCCTTTCTGATTGGTGTTTCTGGTTTCTTGGGATATATTCCTAGAAGTGGGATCACAGGGTCAAATGGGAGTTCCATTTTTAGTTTTTTTAGGAAACTCCATACTGTCTTCCACAGTGGCTGCACCAGTCTGCATTCCCACCAGCAGTGCACAAGTGTTCCTTTTTCTCCACATCCTCTCCAGCACTTGTCGTTTGTTGATTTGTTGATGATAGCCATTCTGACAGGTGTGAGATGGTACCTCATTGTTGTTTTGATTTGCATCTCTCGGATGATTAGTGACTTTGAGCATGTTTTCATATGTCTCTTGGCTTTCTGAATGTCCTCTTTTGAAAGGTGTCTATTTAGGTCCTTTGCCCATTTTTTGATTGGATTGTTTATCTTCCTTTTGTTAAGTTGTATGAGTTCCCTATAAATTTTGGAGATTAGGCCCTTATCAGATATGACATTGGCAAATATGTTTTCCCACGCAGTGGGTTTTCTCGTTTTGTTGATGGTTTCTTTTGCTGTGCAGAAGCTTTTTAGTTTGATGAAGTCCCATTTGTTCATTTTCTCTTTAGTTTCAAGTGCCCTAGGAGCTGTATCAGTGAAGAAATTGCTTCGGCATATGTCTGAGATTTTGTTGCCTTTGAATTCTTCTAGAATTTTTATGGTTTCCTGTCGTACATTTAAGTCCTTTATCCATTTTGAGTTTATTTTTGTGTATGGTGTAAGTTGGTGGTCTAGTTTCATTTTCTTGCATATATCTGTCCAATTTTCCCAACACCACTTATTGAAGAGACTATCTTGGCTCCATTGAATGTTCTTTCCTCCTTTGTCAAATATTAATTGAGCATATTGGTTCGGGCCGATTTCTGGGTTCTCTATTCTATTCCATTGATCTATATGCCTGTTCTTGTGCCAGTACCAGGCAGTTTTGAGAACAGTGGCTTTGTAATACATCTTGATATCTGGTATTGAGATCCCACCTACTTTCTTCTTTCTCAGGATTGCTGCAGCTTTTCGGGGTCTTTTTTATTCCAGATGAATTTTTGGAAAGTTCGTTCTAGATCTGTGAAGTATGCCGTTGGTATTTTAATGGGAAGTGCGTTGAATTTATAGATTGCTTTGGGTAGTATGGACATTTTAATGATGTTGATTCTACCAATCCATGAACACGGTATGTTCTTCCATCTGTTTATATCTTCCTTTATCTCCTTTTTCAACGTCCTGTAGTTTTCTGAGTAGAGGTCTTTTACCTCTTTAGTTAAGTTTATTCCTAGGTAGCTTAATTTTTTTGGTGCGATGGTAAATGGGATTGTTTTTCTAATCTCTCTTTCTGAAAGTTCACTATTGGTGTATAGAAATGCCTCAGATTTCTTGGGGTTAATTTTGTATCCTGCTACATTGCCAAATTCATGTATTAAGGCTAGTAGCTTTTTGATGGAGTCTCTAGGGTTTTGTATGTATAATATCATGTCATCTGCAAATAAGGACAGTTTTACTTCCTCTTTTCCAATTTGGATGCCTTTTATTTCTTCTTCTTGCCTAATTGCAATGGCTAATACTTCCAGTACTATGTTGAACAGGAGTGGTGAGAGTGGGCATCCCTGTCTTGTTCCTGTTCTTAGGGGAAATGGTGTTAGTTTTTGTCCATTGAGTATGATGTTGGCTGTGGGCCTGTCATATATGGCTTTTATTATGTTCAGGTATGGTCCTTCTACTCCCACCTTGCTGAGAGTTTTTATCAAAAATGGGTGTTGGATATTGTCGAATGCTTTTTCTGCATCAATTGATATGACCATGTGGTTTTTTTCTTTCAATTTGTTTATGTGATGTATCACGTTTATTGATTT